TCTATCTATCTATCTATCTATCTATCTATCTATCTATCTATCTATCTATCTGCACCAGAGACATCTATGGGACAATCACCCTTTTTTTATCAGAGATGCAGGCAAGGAAGCCCTGGGCCCCACTCCACCTTCAGGGGCTCCTGGGGAAAACAAGAAACATTCTGTAGAGTTTGGAACCTAGCTTCCTTGTTTTGTTTTGCAGGTTCACCACATCAATGCCAATTATTTTCTGGATATTACTTCTATGAAGCCTGAAGAAGTTGAGAGCAGCATCTTTAGTTTCTCCTCCAGTTTTGAAGACCCCTCAACAGCAACTTATCTCCAGTTCTTGAAGGAAGGACTTCAGAAAGCCAAGTCCTACCTGTAGCCCCTAACACCCAGAAGCAAACAAGTGCTCTCCTCTTCATCCAACACGATTGTTACAGTTCTTCTTCTTGTGTTTTTGGAGCTCAGGATTAACACAGTATTGAAAAGCAAATGTATGTATGTAAATGAAAACTCTCCAAACCAGTAAGTGTTCCTTGGAAATATGAAGTCTGAAATTTCCTGAATAATGTGAGGGATGCTGCCTGGACATCTTTCTTAGTGGTAAATGGTGGGGTTATTCTGAATCTAGACAGGCTACAAGAGACGGAGTTTTGAAGACAATATAGTGCAAAAGATGGAGACAGATTCTGAGACTGCAATGAGATACCAGCAGGTTGCATTTTTGACTCCTTTGGTGTAGTTAAAACTTGGTGAGTTGATTCCTGAATGAGATGCCATCATTTCAACATCAAACTAGACCCTTTTAGGACCCTGAGTTTATAGTGTATGGGCATTAGAAGTTTTAAGTTGCTGTTTGGTGTCAGAGGACCTCAAGAAGCCATATATGTATCTTTTAAGTTCATAAATAGCAGGCAGGATTTGTATCTGTGTGTCTCTTGCTGATGCTTGCAGGATCCCTTTGATGCTATTATGTGGATCAATCCCTAAATTCAGAGTTTCCCAATTTGTTACCCTCCAAGATGCTGCATCAGGACAGTACCCTCCTGGCTGGGAATTTTGTGAGTTGTCTCATCCACAAACCATCAACATGGTCATCCTCAAGCCACCAAAGCCTCCACATTCCTGTTGACTATTCCTCTCAAGCCAGATTTAGTCCCAAAGTCTCCATTAATGAATCCTTTACCATCACATCAAGAATACTGTTATCTTGCACTGCTTTAAGCACATACAATATATGAAATGCATTCCCAGGGATAGTGTGCTATCCGACATCAAGCCTTTGGAAGTGCTTACTGAAGTTTCTTGTCACAGGAATACAACAGCGGTACAGTTGTTGATATCTGAGATGGTCTTCAAAATAGGGCCACACAACCCCATTTTTCTCTCTTTGCTACTATATGTACTGCACATTAATTTCTCATGTTTCTAATTTCTTAATTGGGGGAAAAGACATGTGAATACAATTGAGAGCAGGATCATTCAGAGACAAGCACTATATCCTAAAACCCAAAAGAAATTATATTTCTGTTCTCTCTTGATAAGCCCATGATTGATGATGATAATGATGATGATGTTATCCATTCAGTCATGTCCAATTTTTGCCAGTTCTGTGGATCAGATCTCTCCACGCCTTCAGAACTTGCACTGCTTTTTTGAGTCGTTCTATGCTCTCTGGCTGGTATCAGCTTTGACGGTGTCCGGCCATGTTCTTTGGTGGCCTGGTTTCCTTTTACTGCAAACTCTTCCAAACATAATAGCTTTCTCAGGTGAATTCCCCTTTGTCTTGTTCACAGAATTTTATATTGGATCCCAAATGATGTCTCTTTCTTTTAATTTTGTTATCATGTTTTGTTTTGTTTTTTAGGATTTGTTTCAACAATAGGTTGGGGGTTTTGTTACCAGAAAAGAAAATCTGTAGAAGATACATAGCTCATAGAAGATATTTTGGGAATGAAGAAAGAGTTATACTCTTGTTGGGTTTGTTGTTTAAATAATGAAAAAGAGAGCCAGTATTTTTTATAAACAAATGTGTTCAGTTTCTGATTTAGGCACTCTGAGTGGTCAAGCCACCATCTAGATTGAAATCAACACACTATTAAAAGTCAAATTTCTTTTTTCTCTTTGATTAAAGTTACAAAATAACCTACCAATATTAAGCTTAGCACATCACACATGCTCTGAAGTCACTTACAAAGTCTTTACTATAGAAGCAGCATGTGGTGAAGAAGGTGGTGACTAAGGATAGCCTCAGCAATCTTCACATGCTTTTATTTTTCTTTTAGAAACCTCTTTATATGATTTAAATGTTGCATAATCTAGGTCTTTGTATTCATATGACAGCCTGCTCTTGTTCGTCTCTTGATAGCTCTTAATCTATGCTCTCCTAAATTTTTAATCAGTTTGGAACATTTCCATATATCCCTAATTCCCTTCTTGGGAGATTCTGTGATCATCATAACTCTTTCTACTTAGTTCTATGTTGCCATCCTTTGCCTCTGAGTTCCTTATGCCTTTGTAGTTCTGCATTAGCATCACATATTCAAGGAAACACAGGAGAGTCAACAACCAGTCCCTTCTATCTCCTAATCATTGGTGGCATTAGTGGAAAGATGACCTGTGTGCACATACACACTTACCTGCAGTGGAAAGCCGTAAAGTTTTGCGGAATATTCCCTTGTGAGCTGAACTCCCAACAGGTGCATGGCACCATGGATGGAACTATGGAATTCAACTATAATAGTTGAATTTCTGTGTCACGTTAACTCAAAAGCAAGCCAATGACCTTGAGTGTGTTCACACATTGACGAAATGGGGTTTGCCTCATATGCAAACTCCACTGATGGGTTGCAAATCATGATTTACACATGGCTTGTTCAGCAAACTGTAGATCAACAATCTGTGAACTCAGCCTATGTGACCAAGCCTTATTTGTCAATCCATGTGTTAAAGTGGAGCTTAGATTTTTAATAATTGTCACTCAAGCTATTGGTCATAACAGCTGTTACCAATAATAGCTATTGTCACTTTCATATATTAATCTTTTAAAAATGTATGCTGTTAAGTTCTGTGACAGAGAAACCCCACAGGTGCATCAGTATTGTACTTAATTTGTGTGTGTTAGTATAATGTGGAGCTTTATTAAGCCAGTTTTTAAAGGCAGTAGCCAAAGCAGTAACTAATTTTATACTACTGCAAATTGGAGGGAGCCTAATTTTAGAACACAGGGCTGCTGTCATGCTTTAATGTGAAAGAAACCAAGGGAAACATGTTCACATTAATTCTGTAAATCCAAAGAGGGTAGCTTTTTTTTTCCTGGAGAAGGTTCACACCTGGCCTTTGAATGGAACATTGGGAGTTGCATTCCTAAAAGGAGAGTGAAACTAGGATAAAAACCACGTTTCATTTATATCTCAATGTAATTACCATTGAATATAGGTGCTTGGGGAAAGCCACATTTATGGCATTTAATTTAAAAGTGCTTAGGGAATCATGTATTAAGAATTTCCCCCTAAATTGCCATTTAGTGATAATGTTTGAAAATTGGGGGAGGGGGCGTTGTTTACAGGCAAGGTTTGTGCTTCTTTTCTGTGAAGAAGCATTCCTGAAATCTTAAGGTGTTTTAGATGCATTCAGAAAGAATGCCAAATATTTATGCTGATTGCCAAGCACTCAAACCATCTTTGTAAGACCTTGGGTTTTATCCAAAGTTAAGGCAATGGAATTGAGCAGACATTTAGTAATTTTTATGGTTATGGATGGTTTTACTCAGTAGTGGGATTCAAATAATTTAACAACCAGTTCTCTACCCTAATGATTTCTTCCAACAACCAGTTCACCAAACTGCTTAGAAAGTTAACAACCAGTTCTCCCGAAGTGGTGCGAACTGGCTGAATCCCACCACTGGTTTTACTGCAGGAAATTCTGCTTCCTTTCTGCAGTAATCACCACACCCTCAATATTTGAAAAACAATTTTTAAAACATTTTAATTTCCCCGATTCTTTCTCCTGCTTGAATGTATGAAATTGGCTTACATTGTGAGACAGATCATGGGTTAGTCCCGTGAACAAAAGTCAAGAGGTTTCAATTCAATTCCCAGCATTCTCCAGATAAGACTGGAAAAGCTGCTGCCTGAAATACTGGGAGCCATTGAGTGCTATTAGTTGTTACATTTATCCACAGTTAACTGAATCTTGGTTTGTAGAACACGTGCACACTAAACCGCAAACAAGCCGAGCACACTTCAACCTAATGGGTAGTGGGGATTTTACTAGTACCAGACTAAACTGAGCCAAATGGCAGGGTTTTTTTTATATTTCTGTGTACACAAAACAACATTAATAGACCAAAATCAGAGTTATTCTCTTGTTTCCCTACCCAAGATTCATTATAGGTTGATATTTCTGACTAAATCTGGAATTTGGGGACTTCAGAGAAAATGGACGTTTACTTCTGTTGGATGTTGATGAGGGTTGTGTAAACTTAAGAGCAAGAATGTCCAACTTTGGCAATTCTAAGACCTATGGATTTCAACTCCCAGAATTTCCCAGCCGGACATGCTGGGTGAGGAATTCTGGGAGTTAAAATCCCCAAGTCTTAAAGTTGCCAAGGTTGGACACCCTATTTCAGAGATACCTTACTAGAAGATACCTTTCACCCTACTTCAAAACCGAATGCAGAGACTTGGTCGCATGTTTGTATGCCATTTTGTCCCATCATGTACCACTGTGTACTTTCAAAGGCTGTGTAAGGTTTTATATTCTTGGAAGCTTCTGCGCATTTCCTGTCTCACCCTCTGACTTTAATTTGATCCTGATTTGCTGTAGTTTGTGCGGGCAAACACATTATTGAAAAGAACTAATGGTGTTCTTGGAAAAGAACCTTCTCTGTGGAAAGTTATTTAATGCTGCCAACTTGTATCAGAACCAAGAATAAGTTTCACTGAGCTCAGTTACATTTGTTTTGGAAGCACTGTGGAAAGAAAACACTCATGGGCACTTTGGGGTAATCATTTTGTTTATTCTATTTTTGATCCCTGGATTTCTTAACCAAAAAAGAAAAAAAAAAAGCTAAGACTTTTCTATTTATCTTATCACTATAAATAGATTTTATAGGTATTTTGATAACTATATAGAGAAGAAAATGAATAAGTTGGTTTCTTTCCTTGCTCATCTGTTCTTTGTGAAGGCCTGATCTTAAACCAAGGATGGCTCAGGCTTGATGTCTGACGGTTGATTGCAAGGAGAGAAAAAATCTTTTATCATTCTCTTCATTTTTTAACTATTTCCTTTAAAGATTTTTATTTTATTTTTGCTAAATGTTCCTTTTTTTAAGGTGCTTTATTGTACAATACAAACTTATTTGCATTCCCTCTGTTAGCAGCCTATCCCCATTTAGTCTTTCATGATTTTTTTGGTGATCATGAGAGTTATAGAGGTAGTCCTTAACTTACGACTAAAATTGAGACCAGAATTTCTGTTGCTACGCAAGGCAGTTATTAAGCGCCCAATTTTATGACCTGTTTACCATGGCTCTTAAGTGAACCACTGCAGTCAATAAGTGAAACATGCAGTCATTTAGCCAATCAAGCTTCTTCCATTGATTTTGCTTGTCGGAAGCTGGCGGGGAAGAATGCAAATGGTGATTCCAAAATTCCAGGGAGCTACAACTGTCACCAGTTCACACCAGCTCCTAGTGCCCAAATTTTGATCACATAACTGTGTGAAAGTTGCCATGGTTGTACAGCACATGTGAAGACCAGTTGTACTTCACTTTTTCGGTGCCACTGTAACTTTGAACGGTCATTAAACAAATTACAACTTACAACTAAGTTGAGAACTATTTATCTTAAGGAACTACCCATATCTTCAAGAATAATTAGTTTGGGGCTGTATAACATTGAGAATGTTTTGGATCTAATTAGTGTTGCTATTCATAAAATTATATTAGAATAACTGTGCTGGACAGGTTTTTAATAATGGTTATCAGAGGTCTGTAAAACAAGCTGAAGTCAATCTTTCAGAGACTGTGCCAATATTCAAAGAGACTATTTTTAGTTAGAAAGTTTTGGCTTCAAAGCATTGAACATTGTACACACCTCTATTTGTTATCAAATACTGAAAAAATATTAAGAGGAAAAATCAGGAAAGTCAATTAAGTGATGGTCGATGTATTTTTAAACACCTGTATATTTAAAAACATTTTTAACTTGCTTGTAATTCATATAGAACCACAGTCCTTGGATTTCTTCAAATCCAAAGAATATTCACTTTCACTTTGAAACTGAACTGAATATTTGGATATATAATCTTAATTTCAGACCTCAGTTATTAAATTTGCAAGTTCACAGATTCATTTATAACAGTTGAACCAGTGTTATAGTAAACCATCATGGATTTATTCTTGTATAAAATGTTGGCAACGTGGCTGTTTGTAGCAGCAAAGATCACTTTTTTGCAATAATAAAAAATTGGGAAAACCAAACAAATGTGTTTTTGTATTTGATGCCAGGGCAACGAACACTGTATATTTGAAAAGTAAAAAGGAAATGGCCAAATGAAACGAACTAATCTGTAAGTGGAATAGTGAAATGGGCAGCATTTTTGCTACCTGCTGGTGAGAAGACAACGAATTTAAAAAATGTCTAATTAATTGTAGAGTTGGCCTTTTAAACCAATACATCAAAACAGGGTTTTCAAACTTTTTCAGGTCACAGAACCTGTCATTAAAAAAACTTTCCCTGAACCCTCTAGCAAAGTTCTAGTAAAACAGGTTGTTTTCCCCCCCTTGGTCTTTCACAGAACGCTATCAAGTTCTTGGGAATATGATTTGAAAACCTGCATTAGAACATGGAATGGTTAGCTGGAATCATAAGCGACTTTGTAGCCTGGGCTGGGTCTGTGCATGAGCGAACTAAGCTTATAAACATTCCCAAACCAGAGCCTTGGCTCTTTAGCCTAATCCTGTTCATACTTAGTCAGCAATTCTTCTTGTGTAGTTTATTGGATCAAAGACATCACAACATTTTGCAGCACACCCGTTATTTACCCTAGGTCTCACAATGTCAATTCAGTTTTGAAATTCAAAGTGATTTGCAACACTGAAAGTAACTAAGCAAATAATGTGGCTTTGGGCAATAAAGGAGATTCTTCGAGAAACAGCCGAAGGTAGTACTATATCTTCTGGATGGGGCAAGTTGACAAGTAGCTGTTACTTCCCCAGGCAACTCTTTCCTGAACAGCAGCTTTTCAGGAATACTCCTTTGATTTGACTCATCCCACCTGTAGGCATTCATTATAAATCACAATGATGAAAGATGATGAAAAATCCAAAATACGCACCTCAATGACACACACCAACTCCGGCTTTTCGTATTTGTGTCCAGATGTTGGGTATCAGTACACAAATCACAGGAACAATGCTTTTTACATTCTGGGGAACCAGAACCAGAACCAAACCAGACAGTTACAGAGGTGCAGATGATAGATCCATGCAGTTCCAAGCTTCCCTAAGCCTCAACTTCTTTGAAATCAGAATTCTGGAGAGGCATTCGTACTTTTCTCTTTTTTTAGATGCCGTAACTCAATTCAAACATGTCAAGTCATAATTTAGTTTGGTTTATGAACCATGGCTTGTGACTATGGTGGGCTTGTGGTCCCATGAAATACAGACCTGGGACCGAAAATAAGGAGAAACTTTCTAACAGTGAGAATCAACCAATGGAACAGTTTGCCTTCAAAAAGTGTGGAGGGTTTAGAGAAGAGCCTGGACAGTCACTTGTCAGAAATGGTATAGAGTCTCCTACTAGAGCAGGGGGTTGGACTAGAAGACCTCCAAAGTCCCTTCCAACACTTATTCTGAAAGTCAGAAATCAATGAATGATAACTTCCTCCAACAGAAGCTTCAAACAAAACCTCAACCTTCATTGTGACAGTATCCGTCAACTCTGGTATGAAGTTATTGTGAAGTTTCCATTTAAAACTTTAAAATGTTTTATCTAAATTTATTTATTTATTTATTTGATTTGTCAATTGCTTACAAGGTAATAGGTGTAAGTATAAACATAATTATGAATACATGAAATAGATACATATAAGAAAAATAAAAAGAAACAATAGGGACGTAGGCACGTTGGTGCGCTTATGCACGCCCCCTTACAGACCTCTTAGGAAAGGGGTGAGCTCAATAAGTAGACAGTCTAAGGTTAAAGTTTTGGGGGTTTGATTTGGGAAAGAAACCAGAGTCAGGTAGAGTATTCCAGACATTGACCACTCTGTAATGCCCCCAGTATGTATTTTGAAATAATTGAAGGGTGAGAAAGCTGAACACCACGTATGAACATCAAAACCTAACTAAAAACTAATGTAATGCACTACATACACCCCAAACCCCAGACTAGTAAAAACATCCAAGCTTGGCACATTGAGTTAGCTCAGAGGTCTCTGAACTTGGCAACTTTAAGACTGCAACTTGCAAAGCAAATTTCCAGATGCTGTATTCATTATTGCAGGAGATTTTAATCATGTAGATCTTCGTGTGGTCCTCCCTAAATTCTATCAACATATAAGGTGTGCAACTAGGGGATCGAACACCTTGGATAAGGTCTACACGAATATTGTAAATGGATACAGGGTATTACAACTACCACATCTGGGCCAGTCAGATCACTTGTCCCTGCTTTTAGCCCCGGAGTATATTCCTCTGAGAAAACAGGCGGGGTCGGTAGTCAAGACGGTGAAAAGCTGGCCAGAGGGAGCAATGGAGCAGCTAAAGGACTGCTTCGAACGCACAAACTGGGAAGTTTTTGATCATCCTGATCTCAACGAACACACGGCTGCAGTGCTAGGGTATATGGCACACTGTATTGATACTGTCACGGTGGATAAACGAATCCGGGTGTATCCTAATGAAAAACCTTGGATGACCGGGAAGGTTAGACGCTTGTTGTACGCAAGAAATAAGGCTTTTAAGTCTGGGAATGATCTAGATTATAGTGCTGCAAGAACAAACTTGAAGAGAGGTATTAAGCAAGCTAAGGCCGAATATAAGAGGAGAATTGAAGACTGCTTTCTCAGTAATAACATGAGGCAGGTTTGGCAAGGGGTTCAACAACTAACGAACTATAAAGCAAAAAAGGTCTCTTTGGATGGTAGTGCGGTGGTGGTTGAGGAGTTGAACAATTTTTTTGCTCGATTTGAGATCCATCAAACTGAAACTGTCCCTTTGCCATCATTTACTCAGCAGAGCCTCCCCTTCATTGTGAATGAGCAGGATGTGAGGCAGACAATGAAGGCGGTTAATTCCAGAAAGTCAGCTGGGCCCGACTCAATTCCTGGTTGTGTGGTAAAAGATTGTGCTGATCAGCTAGCTGGGGTGTGGACTGAAATTTTTAATCGATCCTTGACACAAAGTGTGGTTCCTGTGTGTCTCAAGGCTTCCACCATCGTTCCACTGCCTAAAAAGTTGCCCACAAATGGTCCTAGCGACTATAGGCCGGTGGCACTAACTTCTATCTTAATGAAGTGCTTTGAGAAGCTAGTTCGAAATTATATTATCTCCTGCCTTCCTGATTCCTTTGATGGGCTTCAGTTTGCTTACAAAGAAAATAGATCAACCGAGGATGCAATTATTACTGTGCTTCACATGGCCTTATCCCATTTGGAAACACCGGGGAATTATGTAAGAATGTTGTTCGCAGATTTTAGTTCTGCTTTCAATACCATCATACCGCACAGATTAATAGCCAAGCTCAAAGATCTAGACTTTCCAGATTCTATTTGTTTATGGATATTGGATTTTTTAACAAATCGTCCACAAAGAGTTAAACTGAATGATTATATTTCTACTGTCAAGACACTTAGCATTGGCACTCCGCAAGGTTGTGTCCGTAGTCCACTACTGTTCTCCATTTATTCATCAGATTGCACAAATAAACATCCCAACAATAAGATAATAAAATTTGCAGACGATACTACGCTTGTAGGACTTATTTCTGGGGATGATGAGTCTGCATATCGGGATGAGGTATTACAGCTATCCCACTGGTGCAAAAATAATAATCTTCTATTTAACATTAAGAAGACCAAGGAGGTTATAGTGGACTATAGGAAAAAAAGAGCAGACATTCAGCCACTGTATATAGAGGGAGTTCGTGTGGAACAGGTGGTTGAATGTAAGTATCTCGGGACCATCATTACAAATGACCTGACCTGGAGTGCAAACACCGCTGCTTTAATTAAGAAGGCACAACAACGGTTGTATTTACTAAGGATTCTTAGGAAACAACAACTGGCTGAGAGTCTACTGACTACCTTCTATCGGAGTTCAATTGAGAGTATATTATCCTACTGTCTCTGTGTATGGTTCTCGAGCTGCACAGTGGCAGAGAAAAAGGCAATTCAGAGGGTGATTAAGATGGCCCAAAACATCATTGGCTGCTCACTCCCCTCTTTGGAAGAACGGTATAGGAATAGATGTAAGAGGAAGATATTTAATATATTGAATGACTCCTCTCATCCGGGACATCAGCTCTTTGAACTATTACCATCGAGAAGGAGATTCAGGGTATTAAGAACAAGGACGACTAGATTTAAGAACAGTTTTTATCCAAGTGCAGCTTTGAGTTTGAATGCAGGGTCATAAGATTTTGTGGAATTTAATGGCTGAGAGTAATGGGGTATTTACATTTACATTTTTAAATTGTATAGAGATTATTGTATGGTCTGTTGTGTTTAATTTTATTTTTCTTTCAATAGTGTTGTCCAGTTTTACTTGTGGAAGAGCACCTCATTTCGTTGCACCCGCTTGCGAGTGTAATGACAAATAAATTCTTATGTCTTATGTCTTATGTCTTCAACTCCCAGAATTCCTCAGCCAGCTTTGCTGGCTGAGGAATTCTGGGAGTTGAAGTCCACCAGTCTTAAAGTTGCCAAGTTTGAGGAGCCCTGATTTAGCTGATCCCGTTAAATGCGTTCAGCAAGCCCTGCTCATCGTTGCTTAGTCAAAAAACCGTGTTTAATTTTTTTTAAAAAACATGCTTCCGGGGCTTATTCTTCCAACCAGGGCTTGCAAGCAGCATCCAGGCGCCCCCGGCGGGAGGTGTGGGGTGTGTGTGGAAATGCCTCCCGGCGCTTTCGTCACCCAGGAGGCGGAGCGGGACCTTCCCTGCGCATGCGCCAGGAGGAGAGCGGGGCGACGTTTAGGAGGGGAGGGGGGCGAGCCGCGGGGGCCGAGCGGAAGGGCGACACTCGGGCTCGTCGGGAAGCGGCCTTCGCGGTTGGTGCCTGGGGGGGGGGCGGGGGGGTCGTCGAGGGCTCTTTCCGCGTCCGGGTCGTCTTCGCTTGAGCGGCGGGGGAGGGGCAGGGGGCCTCGGCTCGGCCTGACGGGACCACCGCCTTCCACGGAAGCGGCGGTGGGGACCCAGAACCGTGTCAGGGAGAGCGGAACGTGTGAAAGGGGGAAGGAGGAGGAGGGACAGCTTGCGGTGGGAGGGGGCGGCTTGGGGGCGACTCTAACGGGAACCTCCGTTTTACTTCCATCCACCTCGTAGGCCCAACCTCTGCGCCTGTTCACGAAGTCGGACAAGAGGGCTCCTGAGCTGGTGCAGAGTGCTCCCCCCCTGGCAAACCAGTTTTGCAGAGGCTTTCGGACGGGGTGGGTGGGAAATGCCGGCTTCGCCCTCCGCAACAAAATCTCCATCCAGGCTGCACCCCAAAAGACCGTCTGGTGCTTTTCCCACAGGCTGGTTGGGGATTTGGGGTAGGGAGGTGGGACTGCCCCTCCCATCCTCCCCATCCAGCCTGCAGCTAGTGGGGATTGTAGTGTGTGTGTGTGTGTGTGTGTGTCCCGTTAGCCCGAGAAGGCTTCTCAAACCCAGGCAGCTGCCTGTAGGTTTGCCCCGAGATTCTCCCTTTATTGTCATTTATTTGTAAAACAGTCTTTTCCCTCCAGTCCCCTCCCACCACATTAGAAGTCTGTGAGGGGCAGAGCTTCTAAATTGGAGAATCACGATTTAGCATTCATTTAAAACAAACAAAAAAACCTAGGGAATCATTAGTCACTAGGTATTTCAGGTTTTTTATTTGTTAATTAATGTAATAAGCCTTTTTTTTCTCCCTGCGTGCAACTCTCTTCCATGATGGTTCAACAAAACTTATTCCCTGAATTGACAACGTACAGAATGCATCCTGCTGCTTCTGGACAGTAAAAATCCTGATATAGATATTTTATAATTGTTTATTCAATCTTTTAAACCTTGTTACATTAGGTAGATTAAAGGTGTTTAGGGTTCGTGCTTAGGTTTGTCCTTAAAATGGTTTTTGGTTCTCTGATTCATTTTGGTGTTTCAAAGTAGCATATGAGACCAGAAGGAGGATTGTTGTGTGAGGATGTCTTGAGTGATATTTCTTAAAAGTAAAAAATTGATATTAGGTTATTAACTTTGTAAGAACAAAGTTGTTCATCTCTTTTTTGGACAGTTCTTCAAGTTTCTTATAGAGAGCAAGCTGCTGACTCCACAGTAAATTTCTTGGAAGAATTCAGTGTTTTCTTTTTCCAAGTAACTGTATTATGATGACAAAGTTTTTTCCCCTCTTAAATGAAAATACTGATGATTGAATTAGCTTTTTGCTTTTGTTTTCAGAATGTTTAAACCTGAGAGAATTGGCTTTATTTCTGGAAAATACCTTCACTGAAAAACATTTTCTCTGTTGTGTTCCCAGACAGTGATGCTTGAAACTTCAATAGGAACTATTATTCAAGAATTGATTCTAGTTTTGTATCCTAACTTTAATCTGCTCATTCAGGAGCTCTGGAATAGGGGTGTGTTAAGGCCTCATATCACCAAGTGTACACTGGTGCATACATTCAGTGTGGTGGCTTAGATTTTCAAAGCATATCAGCTCTTTTCTTGGTTTAGTTTGCAAATTTTTAATAAGTAGATGTATGGATATTAGATTATATTATGCTTATTTGTTTGTTTTAAATTGTAAATGCCCCACACTCTGTTTTTATAACTCTAGCCAGCTAACAAATAGGTTGATTCAGTATTATAAACAGGTGAAGTGCATTTTGTGAACACATCTAGTAGATATTACTGAGTCAGTGGGAGAAAAGAAACAGAAATTTTGTTATTTCCTACTATATCCTTTGTCTGTGTCAGCCCACTCCCCAAACTGATGCCCCCCCCAAAATTTTGACTGGTAATTTCAGCCAAGCAAGTATTTAAAGCATTTGATTTAAGACAACTAATCTATCTGGAAGTTACCTGTTATTATTAATATTGTTGGAATACAGTCTTTCCAAGTCTGGAATGTAATATAAAATGAAGTACAGGTAGTCCTCAACTTCTGACCATTTATTCAACCATTCAAGAATTATGGCACTGAATGAGTGGTGGTTAGAATTGGTCTTTAGAGTTCCACCCCTAGTTCCACGATTGAAATCTTTGTGTTTGGCAACTGGTTCCCATTGGAGATTAATTGCAGCACCCCACAATCACATGATCATAATTTGTGAGCTTTCGTACTCGCTTCCCCAGAAAGTCAGTGGGGAAACCAGCATGCAAGTCGCTGGTGCAAGTCGCCTGCACACCCTTCCTTAACCGTTCTGCACTTGCACTAGACCAGGGGTGTCCAGCCTTGGCAACTTTAAGACTTGTGGACTTCAACTCCCAGAATTCCTCAGCCAGCAAAGCTTATCAAAGCTGGCCGAGGAATTCAGGGAGTTGAAGTCCACAAGTCTTAAAGTTGCCAAGGTTGGACACCCCTGCACTAGACAATGCACCCTCCCCAACCTTTGCCATGCTCCCCCACCACTCATATATCCCCCCATGTACCTTGCCCAAAGCTTGCTGTGCCTCCCTGGTTGGCCTGGGATTCTTTCCCTTATGCGAAATAAAAATAGAGGGTTTTTTTTTTAGTACAATTAAGTTCTATAATCTGAATTCTATCCCTGATTATGGTCTGTAGGAGGAGGTAGTGATGAGAAACGGACTTCCTTTCTCTTCTTCTTAGCAATGCATTTGTTACTAATGCATTTTGCCAATTTCTGTGCCAGATAATGTGGCTTTGCATTAAGCATCCTGGATTTTATGTATGGATTTTGAAAAAGATGTTTTTTTTCCCTTGATTTTTAGAGAAGCTGATACGGTATGGTTGGATCAATATTAATTTCTGTAAAAGCTGGTATTGTCCATTCCATGAACTTCCAGAAAAATACTTTGGCCTTATATTATCAGGGCAATCTGGGCAAAACAAAAGCCTTATTTTTTTTCCAACTAAATCAGCTGCTGAGTTGTCTTGAGCATTAGCTTTTAATTTCTGGTGTGTGTTGTTGCTGCTGATCTCTCTTTGATTTCCCTCTTCCTCCAAACTGGGCAAAACAAACACTAAATACTATATCTGCCTTCTGCATGACATGTAAACTGAGAATGGATAAGCACTAACTATATATATGTGTGTCTGTCTAAATAATTTATCAAGAAACTTTTGCAACGGAGAATAGTTCTTCTGAGGTGGCTGGCAGTGATACCAGGAATGGCACATGCCAAACTCTTTGACACTAATTTTGTGTAGATTGGAGAGTTGACTCTCTATAGTAGGACATATCAGATAATTATATTTTCTTTTTCTTGTAAAGTTTGCCATGATTAACAAAAACTGCTAATTGCCTCTGAACAGAATAGGAAATTTTATCTAGTTGGCTAACTTAATATTTTAGTTTAACCTTGTACTTATTTCTTTTATCTTATTTTGCTTTTTCCCCTTGTGAACTTCTATAAAAAAATTCTTAACACTCGATATATTTCTTCTCCCCCTCCCCCCCACTCTATTCTTATGAGCCAAATCAGGGACTGACTGTGTTTTCAAAGCCAAACTAAGTAGTGTACATGACTAGTGAAACTTGGTCAGTCCAAAAGTCAATGTCACAAATTTGGGGGCTATCTGTGTTATGTGGTGGATTTTAGGAACCTGATAATTGCATCACAAAATCAGGTGGCTAAGAAGGGAAATGAAAGTATAGCTTGTTTTTATGGAACAAATTTCACTTCCCACAGACAATATTTGCTCATTTTCATATACAGTAAATAAAGTGGTTTATATTATTATTCAACAGAACAATCATTCTTGGGATAATTACCTATCTGTTCTATGATACCTTTGGCGAATGGGATGTCACTCCACAGATCTTCTATTATGAGGAAAAGCTGAGCTCCTTCAGATTATTCGGTGAGTTCCACATTTAGGAGGGCAGAGAGAAAAAAAAGTAACTTTATTGCTATGATTAACTAGCATAACAAGAGTTCTTGGATGTGTGTCATATTTGCAGAAGCCCCCAATATCTTGGGGGACTGGGGAGGGGAAACCTTTAATATTTTTGGACAAAGAATGGCCTAATAATGGATTTGTAATTGTCCTTGTCCTGGGAAGAAATCCACTATCAGCCTGTCTGGGGGTTTCTGGGAATTGAAATCCACCCATCTTCCAATCGCTAAGATTGAGAAATGCTGATCTAGACCTAAGCAGCATAGAGATGCTCACCGGATTTGTGGTTTTTGTCAATGTGATGAAAGCATTATATTGCAAGCCTGTAGTCCTTTCATAGAGACCGGCAATGTCACACCACAGAAGGGACAGAATGTAAAGGCATTATGCCATTTGTGCACTGGAATCCCCTCTCTGGGCTGAAACCATGAAATTGCACCAGATTTGCCCTGTTGTTATTCTTTTGAGAATGCAGATAGTTGTGTTACAAGTTGCATTTCATACCATACTTAGTAGTTGAATTTCAGTGAAAAGAAGATGAAATCTTCAAAACTGGAAAAACAATTTCAGAAATGGCCACCCTAAGCTGTACCTTTATAAGCAAGGATATTCTTGGGTTTGTAACTTGAAGTAACCTACGTTTTGCGAACTTTTAATTCTCTCATGAGGGACATTTTCCAGATGATAGCAAAGGAATGCATGCTGAAGCTTTAAACTGAAGATTTACTTCGATTGTAGTATTTTTATCACAAAGTAAATATTAATTGTAATTATGAGGGAGTATTCTCTTTCACTTCAATCAGTATGTAATCATGACAGTATATCAACCAAGGGACTTGTCTTACTACTTGAACATTATCCTAATAGTTGTATAATTGAATAGTGAAGCAAATTATCAAGGGAATTTGTGTAATTGAGAGGTTATGTAAGTGTCTATGAGGAATATCTTTTTTAGAGTACAAGAAACTGTCATTTCTGTTTGGCAAACTATCAGCTGTTCCAACAGCATCATTAAAGGCCTCTCAGGTCTTGTTTACCTTTTTTAAATACGTGAAACAACTGTGAAACCTGCATTCATCTGTGTTTGTAACAAGTCAGTTTTCTTTAGGGATGAAATACTGTGCAGCTTATATATAAATCCCGGGGCTTCAGTTTTTTCCTGTGACATATCTATACTTCTTGTATGGACAGACATGGAAGCTGAATCAGTAAGTACCCGATTTCTTTTTATTTTGACAGTATACTCCATGGATTGCTTATTTTATTTATGCTGTTAGAAATGTATAAGACCCCCCACCTCTGTAACAACTGTGGGTGGTAAAAAAGTAAAAACAAATATAATAACATTAAAATGAAAAGAACATCCAAACATTGTAAGGCAAGCAACTCCTACAAGACAAATTAGCCTGTTCTTCCAGGTCTGTTCCTTTAGAGAATGTCGTCCCCTAGCGGGTGAAATTTAATCTCCAAAATTAAAGATCCATGAAACCTCATTTTGTTGATCAGTGCGTGATGAAGCTGAGATCTGAAGCTTCAAGCTTGCCTTAGTTTTCAGGGACTAGGCAAAAATATAGACCAATAAAAGAGAGCCAAAAGTTGTATAACCTGGCACTTGGTCTGCATAAATTATACCGTGTCCCTCATTGTCAAGGCAGTCGTTCCCTTCTTTATAACTTGATTGATTGATTACATGCCATCAGGTCAATGTAAATTCATAGTGACTACCTCAGTATGTTTTCTCCAGGACAATCTGCCCCTATACTGACCTTTTAGGTCTTCCGGTGGCGAATCCATCACTATGGCAATTGAATTCATCCATTTTGCTGTTGGTCATTCTCCTCTTTTCTTCCATCTTTCCCAAGCATCATAAACTTCTCCAGAGAGCCAGCTCTTCACATTACGCACCCAAAGTATAACCTAACTTGGACATTGGTGTCTCAAGTGAGAACTCTTGAGATAATTTTATTCGATGATCCATTTGCTCTGTGCACCTGTTTAATCATAGTGCCATCAATATGCCAGAGTTAGAGAGTTTGAGCAATGGTCACAAATGTCTTCTTTGGAAGCTCTCTTTTATTTTGAGTACATCTACCTCCTGTTATCAGGGCTAGCTGCTCCCATACCTTGAATGTTTTAGATTCTGCTCCAAATCGTTCTTTATTCCAGGAATTCTCACCTCTTTAAGGCTATTGGGTAACTGCAGCTAATTTGGAAAAAACCTAATTAGACGCTAGATGGTCAATCTGGTATCTGATTACTCTGAGCAGGGTGGGAGCCGGTTTGGAACTGAGATAACATGCTCTGCTCACCTGTCTTCAAATGACTGGACTTCTCCCCTTCTTCCTCTTTATGATCAGGGCAAGCCCAAAGGTCCTTGATCCCAGGCAACTACCTAATGGGTTGAGCCTTTTCTCAACCTGCTGAGATTTAATACCTTGCCTCCAGGGTTGCTAGACAGGAGACCAGGCATCCCAGGACAAGACCCGAGTGACCTTGAGATAGCCACGTGGGTTCTTCTCCTGCCCTTTTCACACAGGTTGGCATTCAGACCTAATCCCCCCTCTGCTGCTAAATTGTTCTTGCAGGTCAGTCATGGAAATGTGTTGTTTCTTCCAGCAGACAAACATGTAGGCAGAAATCTTTGGAAACAGCTAAATTCTGTGCCGTTGCCATTGCCATTTGGATAGAAAGTGTTTAGTCCCCCATTCCCACCCCCAAAGTTTCATCAATTCAGTTTGTTTATTGCTTTGACCATGGATTATGGGGAAAAATTTCCTAAATTCACAGTCCCTCCTCCCACACCACTGAGAATTTTGGCCCATTTTGCTTTTATCTCTTCTTCTACATCTTTAAGTGTTTTGTGTTTTATAGTGCACATACATATGCTCATTTGGGAAATTTGTTGCTTTTTATTATGCTGGTTTATGATCATAATAAATGTTAATTATCATTGTTCTCAAGTGAGACTTCCAAAGCACAATTGTCCCATTATAATCGTTATGTTGGTTCCAAGTAATACATCCCATCCAATAAGACTCCGAGGCAGGCATGTTCCTCAAAGGACATTTTATTGAGACATATCAAATTGGCATATTCCTGGTGAAAAACCGGCTCTAGGTTCCTGCCGATTTTACACCCCAGTTAAAAGTAAAACTTTGTCACTCCCCCCCTCCCCCCGCTATTCTCCAGTCACATGGTCCAATCAGCATGCAGTCCAGTTGCTGGGTGACCTCAGTGTCCGCCTTTTGAACACCTGCACCAATGTCCTTGATTCCCAGGGGAAAGGATTTTATTTTGGCTACAGCACCCCAGCTATCTCTACACCCTCCTCCCTGGCCTCTTCACTCCAGGCTGTGTCAGTCCTGAAGACGTGAGAAGAAACTCCCTAGAAAAAACTAACAAAAGAAAATGGCCATAGTTCAGCCAACTTCAGAGTTGACACATTATATGAGTTGGCTCTAGGTGTTTTTTTTTTTAATTATTTACTGAGATTGTACCCTTGTACAGGATCCCCAATGGCAGGCCCAGGCCCAGCATTGAAAAAAGTTGCCAACCTGCCAGTTACAGAAACTATTAATCTTTCGAGGACAGAGGCAGAGTTCTCGATTCACTTGCCATAATAATAATTTTTAACATATTGTGACACAGTATCCTATGGTATCATTTGTTTTGACAATGCTTGTGTTTTCCTCCCTTATGTTGGCAATTTATATCCTAGCAAGGCATTAGGATAGAGAAGTGTCACTTATTCCTTTTGCAATTCAAGGTCAGCTATGGAATTGTGGGGAGGCCTTCTAATTCCCACATTGTGTTTATTCTACCATTCAATTACTCTGTTTGCTGTATATAATCTACATACTAAAATTTCTGAAAATGAAAGTTGATGTCTCATTTTTAAAGAAAAGTTCTGCAGCCTTTAGTGACTAATAAACTGCCTGCAGAATAACTTTTTAAAATGACCAGGCACAAAACGATCAGTAGCTAAGACCCCCGGGCTGTATTTATAAAGCCAGTTGTTTTCAAATTCCTTAGTACATTATAAAGATTAATTCCCTTTAAAAAGAGCTATCCCAGACCAGCAGTTAAAGTTAATATTATGGATCAAAATATGTTGTATGATGTTTCTTTTTTTTAAAAAAAAAAACAAGTTTTATTGATTTTACAAACAAACAAGACAAAACATCATTAAACATTAAAACATAAAACCTCTTTCATTGTAGATCCTTACAAGGCAGGTAACATATTGCTTTATATCACATACTTATAATTTATCCCATTTCCATATAAACACGTAAATTCCCTTTACCAAATTCCACATTGTTTCTCTTTAATCATTATTCAATCATATTTCCTTTCTGATTTATCTGCTATCCAGTCATCAACTTTATATTTCCCTCTGGCTTGTTTATAATTATTCTCATCTAGTCTTCTTCCGAGATTTTATTATTTAATTCTTAATTAAACACACACACATAAAACACAGACATAAAAAACATAAAGCTTTCTTCTAGAAAGTAACTTGGCCCCAGATTACCTCTTTTTGTATGGACTCAGTTGTATTCACGCTTTTCTTATATACCATTACCCATCTTATTTACCATTCTATATCTATTATATAACTCCTCTCCACTTTTGCCTCATCTTAATTCTGTTTTATATATTTAATCTTGCTTTTTTTTAAAAAAAATATTTTTATATCTTTTGTCCATTTCTCCATTTACATCTGTCTCATTTCCAATTTAAGAAAGAATAGTTTCCCCTGGAATCACTAATCGGAGTATGATGCCTTTCTATCATTCCCCTAAGTTAAAATTTAAAATAACACCTACCTCGTAGGTGTTTCTTGATAATAGTAATCAAATTGTATTAAGGCCACTGTCTTTAAAACATTTTTATTTTGAATTGTTTATTTCGTATTTTTCTGATTCAATTAGTTCACTTTGTGGTTGTAAAACTAGCTAAACTAAGAAGCGGGTGACCAAGTCATCACCTGCTTTGTTGTGTTCAACCTTCATTTGATAAATGACAATTGAACTAATAGGGGTTGTAGTAGCTTGCTGGTGACCTGCAGACAGAAAGCATCTTCACAGTGTTATTGTGACTAGGAAGATTACAATGGCAAGACAGATTTAAGATATAAATTTTGCACATTGGCCATTAATATCCCAACACATTAACATATAAGCAACAGGAAAGATGCTCTGAGCAAACCAGATCAGTGAATTGAGTCATTCAAGTTCCATTGACGGATTTAGCTAAAACTTTGGTTACTTCTCCCATTGTTTTGTGATGATGTAAAGTTAGCTGCAAGCGTCCAGTATATTTAGTCTCTTGCATGAAACTAAGAAGACAGGTTTGCTTTTTTTTACAACTACTCCTTATCTACAGATTGAATAATGTCATTTAATATTGTATTGGTCCTCAGACAATACCAATTTGGCAGAACAAACCCTATGGTTCATCTCGCAGTTTTGTGAGAAGAATTGGAACAAGCCTTCCTTTAAAACCATGTCCCAGAGCTTCCTTCCAGGTAAAGTTGTGTGTTTGTGATAGTGTATCAGTCACTCAGGTCATGGTTGTCCCAAAGGTGTGTCCAGAGAACCTGGTCCCTGATTAATACAAGTAGGATTGTAATAATAAGATACTGTCTTCAGTATCAAGTGTATTAAGTAATAATAAACATCAAATAGGAAATCTTGAAGAGTTACTTTGATGATAGAATGAAGGGTTACTTTGATGATTATACAAAACCAGAAAGCACTCCACCCATCTCAGCATTCTAAATAAAATGATCCATTAGTAATCATCACCAAGGCTTTAATATTGGCGTATATTATTCTGTGAGGGAGGTGGAAACTTGCTATCTGTCACACCTTAGATGGTATCTACTGATCTGCCTCATTAAACGCCATTTTTAAGCTTGGAATCTTCTGAGATTTCAATATTCCCATATTTCATGAGATCACAGGATTGAGAAAACAGAGACTGTATGAGATTTAAACATTCTGAATAGATTTCATACGATCATTAAAACATTTCATGGGGGTAGAGGCCAGAGCCTTAAAAGGTTGCCAACCTCTGCCTGTGAGGACATCATTGTTGTTATCATTCTGTTGTGGTTCCAGGGTTTGTTTATGTATACAATACTTGCATAAGAGTTGCTTTTCCAGTTGGAATGAAGCTTTCAGAAAAATAAATTGCCTTACCTCTTATCATTTGCATTACTTTAGGCTTCAGAGGTAATGGATCACCATGAGGTAGCTTTTCTAGCTTCTTGCAAATCGCACATGCTGGGAAGTTTTTATGTGCAGTGCATAAACTCCGCATGAATGCTTTGGGCTCACGTCTACTGATTTCATGATAGTTTCCAATCTCAAAAGAACCGAGTGCATCTTTTCAGCATGTTTTTGCAAAGTAGCTGCTTTCTGTAAATGACCTTCATTTACTCGCCCTCCTACAGAAATTGTCCACTTGTGATTTTCTCTTAAGAGCAAAGTCACTGTGGCATCCCGCTGACAGAAACAGTTGAAACAGGAGAGCTAGTGTGTTCTCTAGGGAAATTTGGGAGTTTTGTAAAAGGACAAGGAATTTATTATAGTCACAAAGACAAATAAAGCAAACAAAACAAGCCACCCACTTCCCCACTCCGCAAGAGTCAGTCAAAATAGGAGCCTTCTCAATCAACATCCGCCAAGATTTGTGATTACCTAGGAAAAGCAGGCAATGAGCGACAGTTGAGCTGTTTCAGCCTGTATCGCCTTATTACCTGGGTGTGCAAAAGGGGTGTGCCCTTTACAGATGTTTCCAGTTACAATTCCTGTAAGGTAGCCAGTGTGGCCAATATGAGGGATTACGAGATCCCCTAGTTCTGGGGTCCCTAACCCCCGGCCCACGGACTGGCACTGGGCCACAGCATGCCAGAAACCGGACTACATGAAGAAGCAAAGCCCCATCCACAGGATGCAGGCAGCCTGCAAAACCACGCCTCCCCTCCGATCCATGGAAAAAAACCTCTCACCACGGAACTTGTCCCTGGTGCTCAAAAGATTGACGGCTGCTGCCCTAGCTTCCAATAGCTACGAAAGGCTGACCAGCTGGAATCCAGAAGAGAGGGTCTGATAGAGCGGTAAGGGTGTGCTTGTTTCAGATTACGCTGCTTTTCTGGATTCACCAGATGTTGGTTTTCTGTACCCTTCTCTAATTGGGCAGGTGTAATTTTTAGACTTCTAAGCCAACCTGAGCCCCAAGGTGAAGCAGGAACTATTTATAAAGTGAAGACCTTCCCTAGAACAGTGCTTAAGAATTAGCTGAGCTTAGCTAATGAGCTTGGTGTCTTCTCTCCTCTAGCCACTACCAGACATTTCTGATTTCTACTTCAATGACACCCCGCCTGTTCCCACTCTGGCAGATGTTGCCTGGATTGCCTCTGATGATGAAGAAACATATGCCAGAGTCAGGTAGGTTCCTTCTCCTTTTTCTACTCTTTTGACTTCTAAAGTAGAACATCCCCAGGGCAGGAATTATACCCAAGAGAATTAAGTCTGGGTCAGTTTACATTTCTTGCTAAAGTTGTCTTCTTACCCTAGGCTTAAATTGTGTTTTTATAATGGTTGTTGGATAGCTTCTCCAAAGCCATCTTTGTGGTCCCCTGATTAGACAAGAGAGGTCCTTGGGCAGATCAGAGGTGACTCTGTGCTTTCATACAATTCATCAGGACTGTCCAGCAATCCACATTCTGAGCTCAAGTGTGGATTCTGAGTGACTGTGGCTGGCTGCATATGAATGATCCCTTGGGAGAATCTTCAACAAATGTATCTTTTTCCAGAATCACCCAGCAGCCGCAGAAGCCAGGACAAGGCATTGCTTTAAGGCATTCCCAGCAGGTGCTTTGTGTGTCTCTAAAGCAGGGATGGCAAACATTTAGGGCTCAGCATATCAAATGCCTCCAAGGCCCTGAGATCTGCCACATACCCCTTACCTTCAGGTGGTCTTCTCTTTCTGTTGACAGGCCTTCGTTCTCAAAGCCGCTTTGGCGAACGCTCTTGGGTAGTCCCTGCAACATCAGAAAAACGTGCAAAAGCATGCTCCATACTCACACCACTTCCAAAGAGCCCAGAGGCTATACAAGGCCATGCCTTAGTCTCTGCAGCTTCATACAAGAACAGGGTGTGCTTTCAAGAATAGTTGTTGGGAGTTATTTAGTGCTAGTGTGTCACTTTCGATACGTGTGTCATAGGTTTGTCATCACCGATTTAGAGGGACTATGAAGTTCGTGCCCTTTGGATGCAACTGCATTGCACAGCGCTTCAACTCAGGATAGCTGTTCCTTGTTGATCAGGGTCAGTTTCACTGAAATGTTGGCTTCTTGACTTCTAGGACAGATACACGTCCACTCAAGCACAGATGGAAACCCACTCCGTTCTTTGTTATTCAGCGGAATGCTTCGGTCCCAAATTTGAGGAAGCAAGAAGAAAAATTGTTGGTTCTGAAGAAACCATGTTTACCTGCCTTGAGTCGAACCACAGAACTCCAGGAAGAATTGAGTCACCTGCGGAGTCAGATCGCTAAAATTGTTGCTGGAGATTCAGGTAAATGCCCAGGATCTCATTCTTGGAAGCATCGCACTAAGAAATAAAACCAGAGCCAAAATATTTACAACCGTTCATTTGGTGATTTTGAAGTTGCAACCTAACGGGGCTTATGTCCAGTCCCTGCACTTATGAGCATTGCAGCATCAACTACGGTCACGTTATCAAAATTCAGGCCTTTGGCAACCTGCATGTTATTTACAACAGACGCAACATCTTGTGGTCCTGTTGTGTTTGGTATCTGTGATGTTTCTCTGTTCAGCAAGAAACATCTTTTACCTCTGCATCCTCTTGTAACTTAAGAGCCAATTTACTGTCTGCCACTAATTTAGAGGTTGAACTCAGTGGAATCAACCTTTCATAATTTATAAACGATTGTAGTGTATTTTAAAAGTTCTTTTACAGTCTCTCTCCTCTTTGGAGAGTTTGTGGTCTGGGCCTGGAATAATTATAGCAGCCTTGTTATTTAAACACTTATCTGGTGGCTGCTGGTGATGAGGGGCTCCATGCAGGCATGTGAGTGGGTTGGCAGAGCAGAGATGATGCTTGCGTCCCTCTTTTGCTAGTCTGGTTAGTGTCTGTCCCAACTTATCTGCCTAGGAGGCCAACATCTCTACCCAAACTATTAAACCCTGTTAGCGAATCATGTTACTGCCCTTTTAAACTGTGGAGTTTAACTGACAACTTGTTTATCTATCTACTTGAAAGCAGAAAAGGTGGAAGAATGGGGAAACTAGTATGTTTAATGCAGCTGTAATACAGTTACTACAAATAGCCTATCATGGTTAAAGCAAAAGAATCTGTGGAACCTTCTGAAAGGCACCCAGAGAACGTTGCTTCTGCTCTTTTGATGCCTATTGAGAAGTTGCTCCTGTGTCCCGTGTGGCCTGCAAAATGTTGCCCTTCTAGGCTGGAGGGCAGATTTTTCTGCTTTCTTTTTTTTCAAAAATTCATGTATTAAAACAACCTATGAGAACCTTACTCCTTCTGGCATGCAAAGCAGGCAGTCCTATCTTACTGGGGGGGAAAGGATTCTTTGGGTGGTGGTTTGGCTGTCTGTAACTGATAAACTGGATTCTTTTGTTGACCTTATGAGAGTGGAACCGTAGATTCTGGATTAGTCTTTCTCAGCCTCAACAACTTTAAGACCTATGGACTTCAACTCCCAGAATTCCATATGCTGACTCTGTAAACCACTTGCAGAGGCTGTAAAGCACTGTGAAGCAGTGCAGAGGTCTAAGTGCTATTGCTATTTCTCTCCTCCTTTCCTTGGCCCAGGTGATGCAGTGGTTAGAATGCAGTATTGCAGGCTGATTCTGCTCACTGCCAGCAGCTCAATTCTCACCAGAGGCTCAAGGTTGACTCAGCCTTCCCTCCTTCCGAGGTGGGTAAACTGAGGACCCAGATTGTTGGGAGCAATATGGTGACTCTGTAAACCGCTTAGAGAGGGCTGTAAAAGCACTGTGAAGTGATATGTAAGTCTTAAGCGCTACTGCTATTGCAAGGACAAAACCCTTGATACAGTTCATGTCTCCTTATATTGTTCTCTTTTTTTTTTTCAGCTTCCTCTTCCTTAACGCCAGAATTATTATCTCCAGGAAGTTCCAACGTATCTTCTCCCTTGCCTTGCTTTGGACCCTCATTCCAGTCTACAACTTCTTTTGTCATTAGTGACATCACAGAAGAGGAGGCTGACTTAGAAAGTCCCGAACTTCCATCGGTTTCCATGCTTTGTTCTGCAACTTCTGAATCTTGCAAAGCCGACCCGAAGGATTCAGATGACGAGGACACAGTGTCCCTCTCAAAGGCCAGTAGTTTTGCGGATATGATGGGCATTTTGAAAGACATTCACAGAATGAAACAGAACAAAGACTCGTAAGTCCTTTTTTTACTTTGGATTTGTGCCCAATATTTTGGAGGTATCTATTAATCCAAACAGTGAATTGCATGTGAATCACTGTGTTTTAATTCCCAAAACAGTAGCTAATCCAGATCATAGTATGGCTGCATTCTCACAACACCTGAACCTGGCTCTCAGATTAATCCACAAATGCATCACACAGTAAGTTAACCAAAATAGTGTTGCACCAGTAGAGTTAAAATTAGACCAGCGTAGTACAGGTAGTCCTCAATTTACGACCACAATTGAGCCCAAAATGTATGTTTCTGATGAGAAATTTGTGGAGTGAGTTTTGCCGCATTTTACAACTTTTTTGCCATATTTGTTAAGTGAATCGCTGCAATTAGTAAAATGGTTGTTAAGTGAATCTGGCTTCCCCATTGACTTTGCATGTCAGAAGTTCGCAAAAGGTGATCACATGACTTCAAGGCACTGCAACCATCATAAAGATGAGTCAGCTGCCAAGCATCCGAATGCTGATCATGTGACCATTGGGATGCCACAAAGGCCATAAGTGTGAAAAACGGTCATAAGTCACTTTTTTCAGTGATGTTGTAACTTTGAACAGCCACTAAACAAGCTGTTGTAAGTCGAGGACTACCTGTATGTACCATACCAATTACTCAGTTTCACTTTGGCTTGGCATAGTGATATGTAGGCACCAAAGCAGTAAATGGCTGTTAATATTTCCCTTCCACACAACCTTGATTGTCATGATACCCTTCTGCATGATCCAAGTGAAGGTCAAATTGTTTAAGAACTAGGTTGATGAATACAGACCACTTAATGAAGGAGTGTATATGTGTCTCCTGTTGAGGACGACATTAGGAAGGAGAGGGGCACCTACCAGATTAAAAGGAACATTTGGTTGACGATCATAGTTCTTGTTTTGGGAGTGAGTTTCCTTAATCCTTCAAAGTGGCCCAGGAAGTAAGTTGGCATAGATAATCCTTGATTAGCATCATTTGAAGTGCTGATACGTCCCCCAAAAGTTACTTACAACCTGGTTCCAAAGTTTTGATGCACCACCCACTCACATTCCCCCACAGTCACAGGGGCTTGGCAGCTGGCCTACATTTACAGCTGTTGGCAGCTTCCCATGATCATGTGACTTGGTTTTACAATATTTTTGCTGAAAACTGGCTCCATTATGGTCATTAGTCAGCAGTGACTAACCTTTTGGGGCTCCTGTGCCAAAAATTGTGTGCACGCCGGTGCTCACACGCTTGCATGGCACCACCCAAAAGGCAATGCGCGCCCCCCACGCCCCCTGCGCATGCATGTGCCATCCCGCCACGCCCCCCTTACTTGCACTGCACCTTACAGCTGATTTTCGCCTGGTTTTGAGGCCCTTTTCGGTCTCCCAGAGGCTTGAAAAAATAGCCTCTGCAGGATGAATAGGCCTGTTTCATCATTTCTGGTTTGACAGGAAGTGACGCAACAGGCCTATTCGGCCTGCAGATGCTTTTTTTCAAGCCTCTGGGAGACCGAAAAGGGCCTCAAACCAGGCGAAAATCAGCTGTGAGGCACACGCATGCGCAGTGAGGCAAGTTTGCCTGCGGCTTGCGTGCCAGCACAAATGGCTCTGCGTGCCACCTGTGGCACACATGCCATAGGTTCACCATCACCATCATAGGTCAAGGACTACCTATAATGTATGGAGCAAAACAGAACTGAAGGAAGGGTGGAGTTCTTTTAAGGATGCTTTTCCATAATATTAGAGCTTAACATCAATTGTACTTTAAATCCTCCTGGCACCTTTTAATATGCTCATCCGTTGGGATTCTTGCTCTTACTTCAAGTTAATTAAACCAGTAAACAGAATTACCTCATTATCAGGGGGAAACTGGATGAAAATTAAAGCTGGAACAGATGTGAGAAACACATTATAAATAAGCGAGCTCACATTTAAACAGGTTTAATTCCAAACCCCATGCCAGTCTTTTAGTAATAAATTTGATTTCCTGGGAGTTGGTCCATGGGTCTTAACCTGAACAACATGGTTGCTTATTGCATAGAGTATTGTATTGTTTTGAATTTTAGGGCAATGCATCTTTTGTGGTTGTTGACCGTAAATATACCACAGTGGAAGGACTTGGCTAACCAGTCGACACCATTAGCATCCTAAGATGTGTTGCTCTGAGCGCCACCACTCCCCAGGAGCTCCTTCCCACACTCATGTTCCACTCCATGGTGGGACTGATTGTTGGGAGCAAAAGAGAGACAAGCCTTCATCTGGGAAATCTCTGCTAAGCAATGAAAGAAAGGCTGTTGCAGCCAGGAAGTTGAGAAAGGAAGGGAAAGCTAATGAGAACAAGCCAAAGGAAATAAAAAATCTAGGCCAGTGTTTCTCAGCCTTGGCAACATTAAGACCTGTGGACTTCCCGAATTCTCCAGGCAGCCAAGGCTGAGAAGCACTGATCTAAGCCAGGGGTGTCAACCTCACAGCCCATGGGCCTGATGCGTCACGTGCTGGCCCCGCCCCTGCCTGGTTTAGCGAAGGGCGGCAAAGTCCCGATACATCACATGACGCCACCGTGGCAACTTGGCGAGTTTGACACCCCTGATCTAAGCCCTTTAGAGTACAATGTTTGTAGATCGTATCATCTTAGGTATGATCTTGGGAAAAAATAAACCACTCGGGTAATAAAACTGATGAAAAGGCTGCCGGCTTATTTTAGAAGGTTGGTAAATATTTTAGAAGGTTGGTAAATAATTCAGGAACAATTGCAGCTTATGAAAATCTTCCCATACTCCTATGTAACAGCCTTCATCTGGTATCTTCCTTTCAGGAACAGAAGTTTGCTGAAAGAAGAGGATCCTGCGATTCTTATAGCAGAAGTTTTAAGAAGGAAATTTGCTTTGAAAGATGAAGATGTAAATATGAAAAAGAACTAGTTACGTTCATTTCTTATGTTAGTATGCTGCTTAAATTTTTTCTCTACAGTGGCTGCCTTTCTTGAACATTAAATATCCTTTAGGCTTCCTGTGTGCTTTTGTGCAAAAGGAGCACACTGAGAGAAACTGACATTTTGCTGGTTTTTTTCCACACAGCCAAACGATATACATTTTTTTTAAAGGTAAAACTTTTCCACATTCTGAACTGAAGCAGTGAATATGGATTCTTTTAAAGTTGGAATTGCCAGTGGCTGACAGTGAATATTTTCATTTAAAAAAAGAAATTCATTTTACATTCTTGCTGCAGAACTGAAGCCTGTGAATACTTACTGTTGAGTCCCAAGATTTTGTTTTGTAAAGATAGATTTCTGAAAAGTTCTTATTTTCTGCAGCCTCCCTCCACAACCAGCATTCTTCAAACAACTGACATATAGTTAACTAAAGATGGAATTAGGCATCTAAGCATTGAATTTAAAATCTGGTTGTTGATAATATACATAAAGCTGTGTAGCACTACAGATTTGAAAATAGACTTGGAGTTCATGTATCAACACCTCCTTAAATACATGTATGAATTGAAGCACACCTGTATGTGCACTCCAAAGTATCTTTACCCCTTTGAATTTAGGCTGCTACCCAGTCTTGTAATTAAGCTCTGTAAAACTAAAATTCGTTTGTTGAGACAGAACACAACATCTGCCTGCCTCACTCTTTGCTTTAAGCTCAGGGGCCAGCAGGTTAAGTTAACACAAATGGAAAAATTTTCTAGTGTGGGAGGGCAACAAAATAACCTGTGAATTTGATAATCTACTTTAGCACTGGTGGGGATGGTCAACACAATCCAAGGGTGGTTTGATCTTTTGTATTGGCATTAGAGAATAAAACCCTATTGTGAAGATGGGCTTTGCAAAGTTTTGGTCCAGGCAGAGCATTTTTTCCTCATGGGGTTCTGGCACAGTTGCGTTAATGATGTTTGCAGTTTTATCTTCATGTGCATCTACAAACATCTCTTTCTAGTGAAGCATCTGTGACCCAAGAACCCTCAAAGCGGCTCCTCAGTTACCTTCCTCCCCAATATTTTGCACATCAGCTCCTTGGACTCTGGTGTAGCATCAGGCCGTGGCATTTTTAAAGCAGTTGGGAGGTGTTTTCTAGGGCTTGTTTGCATGTTTAAAAATATTATCACTAATTATCTTTCAGAACCTCCTTGCAATTTGTAGAAGGGCAAAAGCGTGGAAAAGTTTTTACAGTATATTTTAAAAGCCTTTTTGAGCACTGGCTGGTCCTTTGTCAGCAGCAATTGTAGCATGATAGTTTGTGATGCTGCCACTGTTATCTAGGGGAACCACAATGGTTTAAATCATTAACTTCTACCCTCAGGGAATTTATAACACTCTCTTTCCCATGGCACACTAAACAGGTTTCCACTTTTTACCCATTCTTTTCTCTTTTCTCACTGTTAATATTCTATTGAGTTAAAGATACTGTAAAGCCAGATGTAGACAACCTGGTATTTTCCAGTCATTTTGGGCTACAATTCCCAAAAGCTCTTGCCATTAGCCTGAGGTTCAGGCTGATTGGCATTCAAATCTCTGGAGAACATCAGGTTCTCATTGTCGCAGAACAACTGTGAGTTCTGTTCATACTCATTGATTGGAGTTCTTTGTTCAATGTCCAAACTGGTGTTCTAGTCTTAAACATCGCCTAGAGGAGCAGAAGAGAAATAGGCCCATGTTGGCAGGCTGGATCTTGCTGAAGTTGCATGGGGTCAGGTTCACTAGCTATGCAACCTGGCAGGTCGTCTGTTTTTTTTTTTTTTTTTAAAGCAGGACATTTCCCTCTGCGCCCACCCTCCATTTTGAAGCAGCCAGAACTGGTCCGCAATACCAACTTTTAAGCGGTGCTGTGGCTGATGGGTCTGGCTGAAACCCACCTTAGCCGACCTTTCAGCCGCCTGAATGAAAGCTGACCGAATCTCAACTCGTGGAACAATTCTAGAGCAGCCTGACATCTTTCTAGAACACCAGGATTAAGCTTGCATTCCTCGGTTTCTTTTATTAGCTCCCATGCCGAAGAAAGCATGTTGAACAAAACAAGTTAGGTATGCGACACACAGCCACAGGCAATATACAAAGGGGCCCTTTAAGCCAGGTTTGTTTTGTAAGGAGGCACCGAGCACCCGCTATCTCACAGAGCAATTACGACTTAGTGTTTAATGACTTTATTGCCTTCTGAATCCTCTGTGAATAGCAAGTCATAACACGACTTTTCCCTACGTTCTGTTAGAGGAGAAACGCTCCTGCCCAGAGACCCAGGGGGGCTTCTGTCTCCAGCCCAACCATCCCTAAAGCCGCTCTTATTATTGAAGGAGCTTCTTACAGGGGCCCCTTTGCCCCACCAGAGCTCCTTTGCCAAGGACGCTTTGCTTCCTTCTCCTCCAAAGCGGTGCAGAATGACTCTGCGGCCCTCAGAGTCCTGCGTGAACAGCCGCTGAGTTGAAGCTAGGGAGCTGGTCTCACAGCTAGTGGCGTCCATATATTTTCTGCAGAGTCCAATTTGATTGAACCCTCTCGTGTGTGCTGCTTCTGGTAGGTTTGCTTCCAGGTCAGGATCCACATTTTCAGAGTCCGAGTCGTCCGCAAAAGTAGAGCCCGCCAAAGAGGAAAGGAGTCTGCGTCGTTTCCCTGCACCCATTCTTTGGTTGGGAATTATTTTAAAACTTGGGCTTCTCTGAGAAAACAAAGTGGGGCTCTCTCCTCTTTGCCAGCCATCGTTTTTCTCTTTCAGGGGGGACCCCGGAGCCACCTGCTGCTGGAGGCCCCCCTTTTCTTTCAGGCGCCGCATGAGATCTGTAGTTAGAAAAGCCTCCCCTTTTGTTACAGCGTCTTCCTCCCGAGCAACAGGGAAGCTGCTGGGGTGGCTCTGGGCTCGAGCGGAAAGAGAATTGCAAAGAAAAGGACCTGAAGCCTCTGTGGCCTTTGCAGGTTGGCTTTGGCAGTCTTGCAGGCTTGATGGTTGAAGGGCAGAAGCTGGGGCCCTGATCCTTTTCCCTCTAAGCAATTCAGAGTCTTTTAGATTGACAACGTTGCTTGAAGCGGAGGTCGTTAACTGCTTGTTTGGGTCTGTGGTCTTTTCCCCTGCCAAAAAAAACGATGGAATCTGAATCAGGCAGAGGTCAAATACACAGCCTTTATATAGCCCAGCAGTCGAGGGAAATGGCAGGTGCAGCTCTTTTACTTCAGGAGCCAGATATATGACTGGGGGGGAAAATGCTATAAATCCAAAATCCTATTCTTAAGAGAGGTTCATGTGCTCCTTCTCTCGAAGAGTCTCCCTGAATCTAAGAGATCAGATGTTCTCCCTGCTAGTTAGGTGACCTGCCCTTGGAAGGGACCCCGTCTCCCTGCTTGATTTACGGTGGTTTCCAGAAACTTTGCCAAGACAGGGACTTGGGCTAATCTAAAGCTTGTCAAGGAGCGGGAAGATCACTTTATTCAGGGAAAAAGTGTGCCTTAGCCTCTGTGTTTAAAAGAAAAGATTTGGGAGATATGTTTGTTGTAGCAAAAACCTGACTTGCTAACCACTGAACCAAATATATACAAATACTGATCAGGCTCTTGTTGTAACCAGGACTATGCCTTGAACGATCAACACGTCTTTCTTACTAGATCTCAATTATTCTCTCTCTTGCTCTTCTGTGGGATTGAAAGAAACAACAACGAAGAACTGTTATCTAAAGAAAAGACTTGAATTTTTTTTTTTCAAAAAAGTTGCTGCTTTCCTCAATTATCTTTTCCCCCGTTTTTTAAGTTGTGAAGAATAAGTAGCGGAACAGGAGTTGTCACACATCCTCCACACCTTTTAGTAGTAGCAATGCAGTGGAGAGACAAAAGTTTTTTGGATGACATTGTGTGTTTTGTATGCCTTTGCAGTGAAGAATGCGATGGAATAGCAAATAAATCCTCTTATATAGAGCTCGGCAAATGTATGTGCAAGTTATTTGAACTTACTACTTAACTTATCAATTACTATCCAGCCTTGAAAATGTGCAATGACTGCAGCTGCTAAAATATGGGGTGAAAAAGCTGACCACTAGATGGCACTAAAAAGTTTACATTTATCTTCTT